TGATTTATTGACGAATCTGTATTTTATTTTCTGAAAATTCAGAAATTTGACACTGCAAATAATTAGAAAAACATTTTCCCAACATCAAAGTTTCATTACATGCCTATTAAATGTTTAATTTTCGAGACTGCACGTAATAAATCGCACTAATTCAAAATATTGTACTTGTATGCACTTTTGGATATACAGTAAAAAATAATAATAAATAAAAGGAAATACATTCTAATGCGTCGTGCGAAATAAACTGAAGAATCGAAGCTTTTGTTGAAAAATCTTTTGTCAAGAAAGTTCGATAGAAGTAAGAACACTTATAATTCCAACAAAAGTTTAAACGGAATTGTATAGTACTTTATTTGAAATCATCAAATCTTTTGAATGATTTTGTTTAATAAATTTTGAAATTGTAATTCAATATATTTATAAATATTATACTAGACCTTTATCTTGTTGATAATAAACATTTGTTAATTATAATTTATAATTTTTTTTTTTTTAATAGAATTGTTATTGAAACTTTCGCTAAATGCAACGTTATTCAACATGTGGTAGTCAAATAGTAATATAACATTATTATTACGTAAAATTAGAATAACAATTTTTTAAATTCGAAAATAAATTCCAAATTTTTAAAAAGTAGTATTATTTTAATTTAAGTAAAATGTTTATAAAGTAATAGTTTTCTTATAATGATTTTGCTCAATTAAACTAGTTTATAAAAATATTAAAATTTGTTGATGATTGGTAAACAATATATAAATAAATTTCTATTGAAGCTTAAGGAAAAAGGGTTATTTATATTAGTATTAAACAAATTATAATAAAATTTATGTCAATTGATTCATAAAATTCAAGTCCAAATCTGAACTGAACTGAAAATTTTGGTTGATTTTAGAAGCGTCCTTTTATAATTAAACTCACCAAAGTACTGGAAGCTACTTTATTAAATTTTTTTCAAATAAAATTCACATTCTAGCAAGAGTAAGTCTAATTTTGTTTTAATAAAACTTTATCCGAAGTCCAAGAGGTGATATTAAAATTTTTTCTAATAAGGTCGCCTATAGAAGATTGAGGCTGCAAAAAAAAACAAATCGTCTTTATATTTATATGAAATAAAGACAATATATACTTTATATGCAAAACATTTTTGGTAGTCTTATTAAATGCATATTTATAAATTAGAGTTAAAAAGTAAAGATGAATAAAAAAATTCCTAAAATTGAATAAACAGTTACGGTCATAATCATAATCAATTAAAATAAATTAACAACTGTTACATACAGTAAGTATTCTTCAAATTTACCAACCCTTGTTCTAAAATCTTTTCTATCAATAATATGACATATCTTTTTCTCAATGACGCTTGATTTGAAAACGAGTAATTTGGTGTAGCGAAAATAGTTAAATGTTTCCTTTCCAACTAAATATTGCGGAAAACGATAAATACATAGATAATATCACCAACATTTTAAAAGTTGATCCGTTAGCAAGTTAGCAATTTATTCAATTCGTTCGCATAAATCTTTTGTTTTTTAATATCTGGAAATAAGATTGATTACTTGTCTAAAAGCACTTTCTTGAATCTTGAAAGACCATCGTAGATACCGGGGTGCTTATAAACATGACTACGATACAAAGATATCGAATCTATATGAAGTCAGTAAGTATATCTTTCCTTTACCTATTTTTTTTTTTTGTCTATATTTATATTTATTTTTTTTTAAAAAAAAATCTATAAAAATTAACAAGCTTTTTTTCTTTGCTTGAATTTCGATTTATATTTTTTCAATGATGTTTCTTAGATAAACTTTTTTTATGCGCGTCCAAGAGAAACAGTTATAAATCCGATATCTGGCTAAGTGCAAACATGACAGTATATTAGAAGGCATATTAATTGCAACATACTTTGAATTATTATTGTATGTCTAACTAATACTTCACACATTAAATTTTTTTTGCTACATACAAACTAATACGAAGTGTAATTCAGAATATAATTTTTTTTTTGATTTGAAAATTAGGAATTTTCTTTGTTTAAAAATCATTAAGAAAATTATGATTAAGACTGAAAATATCTAGCAAATGACTAAGTCGACTCAAGAGTATAAAATGGAACAATATGTATGAGATTTTGTTCTTTAAGTATTCACTATATTCTCATAAGATGTAACTAACATCATATAAAATTTCATAATTTATTAATTAGGCATAGTTAGTTAATATAAAAAAAAATCGATTAACCCAACAAACGACGTTACCGATTCACTTCACGTATATTCAGCTTATTATTTAGCTAAATGAATTAGAAAATTGCGCAAAATCAGCTAATAGTATATTTTTAAAAAAAGAATGCCGTGGTGTGTTATTTTTGGCAATTAAAATCTCCTTTATTTAAAACCGCAAATGATTTTTACAGAATAACAAAATCTTCTGGAAGTAAGCGCTTAAAATTTTATGATTGGTGGATATGTATGTTTAAACGCTTCAAATTCATTTGGTCACTATAAAAGTAGAATGGATGCCACTTTCGAACCGATTTTTAATATTTTCATTAATTTTTCTTAGTCAACAAAAATGTCTTGTCTTCATGCAAAATTTGTATTTAATTTGAAATGAATCAAAGTTGAAATTGAACAAAACAAAAAAAAAAAAATCTATAAATTCTCTAGTAATTCTGTACCATAATTGATCTTTACCATAATTATTTTTATATGTCGCTATGAAAGAAAAGACAAATCAACGATCGAGAGTGTTATGATACAGTTTGATTCCTGTGTATTGAAGAAATTTCTGCGAACAGCAATTTGATTCATCGTCGAGGAATCGATTATCGTGAATCCCTCTCACAATAATCGCACCCGATCTGTGTAAAACTGAAATATTTTGGCATTCCTTGACCGAAGTGACAGAAAGATAATCACGAACGATCAATACGACATCATTGAACCTCCAAATAAATAAAACATGTAAAGACAAGACATGCAATCCAGTGTGAATATTAGGACGGTTTGACATCGTCATGTATTGTAGAACATTTAACTTAAGAATAGCCAACGACCGAAAACAATTGTTTGAGGAAAAGGAATAACGAAATTTCCGTTTAATAGTTATGAATCGCAATATCATAATTCTTGAAAACAGTTTGAACGCTCGTTTGTTCTTTGGGATAAAAATAAGTATAATTTCTTTTTAATAAAATCTTTTTAAAGAATTTAGCCTAATAAGTTAAATAAATTTACTTATTTTTTATTTTAAAAAAAGCGCCGCCGGCAGAGTTATTATATTATTTAACATTTATATTTGATAAATTTATTTCCTTTTATTTCCTTTAATAAAAACTTTATTTATTTATTTATTCAATTGATTCATCGCTGTAATACATTGTGTGCGTTCCATAAATTATCTAATATACATAAAATTAACTCTTTATGTGACACGAGCTAGCCGTATTGTGGGAATAATAGAAACGCTATGCGTGTTACGTCAAATTAACATTCGATTTCAAATGATTCGACGAATGCTAAACTCGTTACCTTCGATTGGTCTGATATTTTATAGGTTTTTTTTTTTTAAAGTTATCATTTTTTTAGAATCTCGTTTATCCCCTTCACCATCTTTTATTTGTTGGAGTTAATAATACATTATATAATAATGATGATAATATACATACTAACAAAATAATTGAATTATAAGACATTAAAATCGACCAATTTTTTTTTCGAATTAACAAAGGGAATAATTTGAAATATTTCATATTCATCATTTATCATCATCCCTAATTTTATTTTCATAACTAGTTTGCACGCATCTACATTCCCGTTATCTTTAAAATTTGGTACCAAATAATTTTAAATCGTAATAACCACCACCTTAACAAAGACCATATGACTCATTTTGATATATTGCTTTAGAGGCATTGGTAATTTTTGATAAATTAAGTTCATAATTAAATACTTTATAACCGAGGGAAAAAATAAATGATGAATTTGATGGACTATAGTATCCTAATATATTTGAATGACAATTGACCGGGTTATACGCCCAAAGATTTCTCCCGTATTCTCAACCTTTAAAGCTTTTACTGTTGGAACTTTTTCATCACACCTTATATGAAATTCTTCAGGGTAAACCCATCTCTGCGACCACGTAATAATAATTTAAACTCGAAAAAAGGACCGTCTTGTTGTGAAGAAAAGTTAGTGATGAAACCTCGTGATTCCAATTTGTTATTTTCGTTGCGTCAGAAGATGTGATCAAATTGGAATCAATTTCTTTAATATAACTTCGATCCCTCACTTCCAATAGTAAATTAAACAATTAAGAGGTAACATTAATAGCTAGTAGTTGACGATATTCAAGTACTTGGGTATAAAATCCGGATCAATATAATCTAAACATTTTTTCCAGTGTCTAAATTCTGAAGGAATTCTTCAGAATCCATCTCGGTAAATTTAATTAAAGTAACAAAATGTTCAAGCGTATCCCCTAAAGATCATCTGTGCACTCAACATATTGTATCGTGTGAGCCACACCCCATTCAACCAAATTTCTCCACAAATTCAAGGTTTGAAGAAAAGTTATGAGGTTTAAAAAAGCGATTAATCGATCGTAGTAAAATCATTTGAATCAAATATTGTTGAAGGATTCTCTTTTATTAATTCGATTACACATTTTCTTATTTTGGGAAACCTTTCATCATTTTGCATCGCCAATCTGTGAAATAATACAAAATGGGACATTAACCTCCATGAATTATTTAATAATATTCTTGAATGTAATCTGTCAGTTCATCAAGCTCTAATTCATCCGTTGAAATAAATAATTCGAGAATAATTCTTGATCATGTTCTGCAAGGCATAATGATCCTCTATAAAGAATCCTAATAAAGGGGACAAAGTTTATTAAAAAGGATTATTGGACAAAACAATTATTTTTTATAAAAAAATTTTGACTTTAAAATGATTTCGAAAACTTCAGGAGAAATATCGAGTTTTTGAAAATCATTAAATTTCCTTGGGTTTTTGCCCAATCATTTGCGTCTTTAAAATATGTTGATCTTGATAGAATTCTTCATTATCTGGTTCTTGTCCTGTATATATGATAACATCCGCATATTCTCCTGTTTCCAACAATTTAAGATGATCTAAAGACTTAACAAAATTTGTTTTCCATCTTTTAAAAAAAGAAATTTTTTGTTAAAATAAATAAATTATTATTCATTTATTTTTAAAAAGATTTTTTTTTTAAGGGGGAGAATACGCTTTTATAATAATTCGTGAAACGAAACATGGGGTGGTTGTTGCAAAGACGCAAAATTAATGCAAGTTGTTATGAATAGAAAAATGGCGGGAAAATCTTTTGTTTGACACTATTACTCTATGACCAATCAAAAACTAAAAAATTTACTAATCACAATTGACAAGGAAGACCATATTAACTATTTCGGTCTTCGACAGATTTAAATTCTTAAATTCTTGTATTTTATCACGTGTTATAAACACGTTTAATTTAAAAGCACTTAAATAAATAATGTTCAAATGAAATCAACTCAGACTGCTGATTGCGATACGAAAATTCAGCTGAAAAAATACATATATTCGAATTTCTATTCGACCCTTATTTATACAAAATCATTAATAAATCCTGATAGTAATAACTTGAATGTCACCCTCATTTGTATTAATTATTCTGGAGACTTTGAAATATTTTCGGAGTATATTCATTTTAGTCAATTAATGACGTAATGCCAGCCAAAGGCACGTGGACTGATAAATCTTATATGCTTGCACCAAACTTAAACTAAAAAATTTATAAAAAATTAGTCTAATATTTGCGGAAGATAGTATGTCTGAACTTAGCTAAAAGTAATATTAGTTGTTTCTATTTCGTAGATAGTTGCGTATGATTTTTTACCACGATTTTATTTATTGTACTATTATTAATAAATTAAGCCTTTATTATTCATCGAATTTCTTTAAGTTCATAATTCATATTTGGTATTATGTTTCGAAGACGTTCGAAAATTTACAAAATGAACATAATAAAAATAAACAAATTTTTCTCAAGAATTGATCTGCCCAATAAATTTATAAAATTGATTTATTAAGATAGCCCTTTGTGACTATAAAACTTAAAATATTCTTTTGTTAGATGCATAATATTTTATTTTATATTATATTAAACTTATCTTTTTATTTTCTGATTTATTGAAAATTAAATTTCACCGGTTTTAACCATATCTCAATTCTAATAGCACACTACCCATATACAGACCTCTCTAAATGCACCCTCCCTAAATGCACGCATATTTACTTTTTCTATAAATGCACATTTCACACAGCCCCAAGTATATAAAGATCATACAAAATTTCTCTTTTTAAATGCACATTTTTTCAAAGAATTATAGCTCAATCCAAGATGCATTAAAACTATTACGAATTAATTCAAGTAGATATAAATTTTTTATTTTTTTTTTCATTATACTAATTTTATTTTTTCGACATGGCATTTTTGTACAAATAGGATAATGATAATAAAAAATTAAATAAAATTAAGAAAAATTATTTGATAGAGAATTACGATAATTATGAGATACTAGTTACGTCTAAACTATGAAAGAAATAAACACGAGTTTAATTAATTGAAGGGTCAGATCGTCTTTATCGATATTTATTATTTTGAAGATAATTAGTTAACTCTCTTCTTTTATTAAAGTAAAAATGCAAGATATTTATATAAAATACATTAATAGAAAATAGATATTTAATAAAGTAAAGAAATATAAGAAATTAGATCACAAATAAAAATTGTTACAGTAATTGTTTGGAGTATTATTACTAACAATGGTTACAGCAATGCCAAGATTTCGATTCGTTTTCCTGACTATTTTTTAGTGAAAAGTTCCTCTCACAAGGAATATCCTAAGTTGGAATTTATTGCGAGAGGGACCACAACTTTAGCTCTTCAATTATGACGTAAAATACTCATTCAGTAACTTAATTTTCATCAACAAAAAATTTGTAATTTCGGTATTAAGATCGGGAGCTTCCGTTTCAGGTAAATCATAAATCAAAGTTGAATACATTTTTAAAAGGTATTTCATGCATGACTTCAAATGAAATTTTATGTGTAAGGATTTTGGATAAACCGGACTAAATTTCTCATAAACATCCAAGTTTACCAAAAACCAAGAAAAAGCCGATTTTGTGAGCTGACAATATCTTAGGTTCTATAACGTTGAAATTATACATTACACTTGAAATTTGCCATTTATATTATAAAATTTCGTACGTATATTTTAAATGATATAATATATAGTCCTTAATTTGTCACTTGATTTAATCTTATAAAATACAATTGATAATAATAATAAGTTGAAAAAATTTTTAAGACAAAATAGAATTAAATAAAGAAATTCAGAGGCAGGTGGTAAATAAGAGACTTTTCGTAACGGAATAAAATAAAATAAATATACGTTGGACTTTTACAATAATATTAGTTACTTGTACATGAAATGACAATTGGAGGGAGGAGGACATGACAAACAGCCGCACTCAACGCAAGAATTGCGAATGCCATAAACACAACTGTTACCGCTAGGATTGCATTCATAGACATAACCAATGCGGCAATTACTGTCAGGAAGTATATCTGAAAAATAAAATTATAAAAAATTATAAAGAGGTGACAAATGATTATTTAGAGCATACGAAGACAACTATAATATAATTTTAATTACATACCACCACAGTATTGACCTTGCGCAGTGCCTAACGGGCATTTGCAAGAAGTAGGATCGCATCTAGCGAAGGCATTAGAGACGAAGAAGGACAAAAGACTCAAGATAAAAAGATAATAAGTAAGTCCGTTCATTTTCGTTGCTATTTTTGTTTTGTTATCCTGGAAAGTTTATTTTTTTTACGATCGTTTATTGTGGGCAGCACACTTATTAATATTTATTGACGATAATGAAAGTGGTTTTATAATAAAAAGTATGATATGATCTGACAAAAAAAGCTAATCAATTTAATTTCCCATGACAACAATATATTAATTAATGTACTATAATTGGCATATGGGCGGCTATTAAAATCACCTTATGAAACATAGTAAATCATATGATGCGTAAAGCCGATAACTCATATAATTCCTATTCCTTCTTGAATATTTCCTGACGACTATAGAACCTTAGGTATCGATTTTTTTAATAGATATCTATTGATTTAGGGATTGGAATCGATTCTACAAAAAATCGAATTAATCGAAAATCGAATTAAAAAAATCGAAACTATTTTAGTGGCGCAGTAAGACGGCTAATTTTTTTATTATTAATTATTGATCAACATTGCATAAAATTATTCACACGGCGCTTTCAAATTTTCTTTTTTTTAAAAAAAATGGCAACTACTACTTGACACAAAAAATAATAATAGATGATGAAATTGATCTTGATTCTGATTCTGATAATCTTTGATTCTGATCCTGATTATGAAAATGAAATTGATATTTTGTCTAATACAAGAAATTAATGATAACCGACATGTCTAATATTGTAATTATTGATGACAGAGAAATTGATGAACAAGTTTCTTAAAAAAGATAGAAAACCTCCAACCAAACTTACAAGACCTAAAACAAGATGGATATGTAAATTCTTTAAACTTAATGAAGATAATACTAAAGATATTTGTCAAATTAGCAGATGTTATAAAATATTAGCATGTTTTGGCTCTCCAAGCACAATGAAAACACATTTGTCAGGCAAACATCAAATTACTAGAGCTATTGCAATTATCAAGAAGAAGGAATTAAAGAAATCCTTCTCAACAATTTAAACCATTAAACCATCTAAACAAGATGTTATAGTATACGGTACAAACCTTCATATTTTATTATGATAAATGGATTTGATCAACGCTATAAAATTCATAGTACTAAAACCCTTAAAGATCGGATTTCAACAGCATAAGAAGTAGGAAAGGATAAACTAATTATCATCTTACACAAGTACATATATTTCTTTACTACTTAAAATAGAAATAAATAATATGATATCCATTAGATTCTCCAATATTTGAGTTGATCATTATACAAAATTCTAAATATGGAAATCTGATATTTCTTGAAATTTTTATTATTTTAACAGACTATTAATCACAAAAAATATAATTTGAGAACTTTCAATAATTATTTTTTCCTAATCTAACAATGTATTACGTTGCTATTATTGATTATTAATTGTTTATATTTATATATTATATATAAATTCATTATTATTTATTTTAAATTATATTTTATATTTAAATAAAAATTAAGAAATAATTATTTGATATCAGAAAATAACGATAATTGTGAGATACTATAATTAAAATAAATAAATCACATTAAATATGTGACATCAAATCGGAAATACTAAAGTTATCAATTAGTAATTGCAACCTTTGGTGTTTGCATTCCTGTATATGAAGGATAGTTCGTTTTTAATTCGCCAGTATAAAATCCGAGAAGACGTGTAATATATTTCATAAATATCATGTCTCAAGATATAAATGTGTGCGCCATTAGTATAGAACTCAAACCCGTGTATGCAAGCTATCTATACCAAAACTCAACCACCCAAAATTAACACTAATTCCCAATATATACTCAAAATTGGAAAGAGATCGGTGAATAATAAATATTTTTTTGCACCAACTGCAAAAAAATTATCGTAATTTTTGTCTTAAATTAGGTTCATCAGTTCGCGTTAAAGATGAATGATTTGTTGGGATAATATAATATTTAACGTATATATTCGAAACTGTTTGTAAAAAATATGAATCGGCTCCTTACGGATCATATGATTCTAATTTAGGATATCGCGGGTTGAGAAATCTATAAGCTTCATTTAATCGAGATTTGAAATGATTTATTTAACAAACAATAAAAAAAAAAAAAAAATTAAAATAAAATTGATTGAAAAAGCTATCCAAAAGATATTTCTCTTCACCACATGAATTATTCGGAAAATAAAATTTTAAGACTTGAATAATTTTTGTTATTAGAAGAGCATACCTTACTAACTACAATAAAGATTATAGATTGCCAGCAAACGTTTACGGTTTACGATAATGTAACATAATCACTGAACATACTCTAGTTGCCATTCCATAAATGAAATGAATATTCATTTTTTATATTTAAGCCTGATCAACTGCGCTATGAGATTATTTTATATATTTACTTTTCAACTGCGCCAAAATAGGTCATGACGATCAATCTCTGTAAATTGTTGGAATTGACACACTGTCCATTAGGCCTCAATGGACTGATGGAAAATATATGTCTAAACGACCCCTTTCGACTCAGGGATTAATGCCCGTAAGGGTCAGGTCGGGTCGGGTTTGAATCATATTCGTACTCGAACCCGTTAATATTTACAGAACCCGAACTCAAATCGACCCGAATATTGTTCAACTCAGATTAGATACACCAGACTGATTATTGTTTAGACTCGAATTTTCAAGGGTAATATTAATACTGAAAGTAAAAAAAAAATTATTTAAACGGATATTTAAAAGTAGTATATTTATTAAATTTGTAAGTTTTATTTATTTATTTTCTTTGTGCATTAATTCTAATTTAAAATTTTTTTAAATATATGTTATTGCAACCAAGATTTCAAACACATATTGGCGCGAATTCTATTAGCTTGTAGCCCACATCTTTTGGTTGCTATTAAATTATCGTCGCAGAAAAACACGTTCTACTAGAACGCTAATTGCTTTTTAAAAAAAAATTTTTAGTTAATACAGTCGACCCTCTCTACTGTCACACCCCTTGGGACCAAAAATAAAAAGTGTGACTATAGTGAAAAGTGACTATATAGAAGGATTTTTTTAATAGTATTACTAAGTATTGGTTCCAAAATGATGTGATTATAATAACATTGTGATTATAGAAGGGTTTTTTATATAGTATTAATAGGAACTGGTTTTTATGAAAGGTTTGCTTATAACGGAGGATTTATATGATGTGATTGTATAGGGGGTGACTGTAGAGGGGGTCGACTGTATTTTATAACCTTAAAATAATCAATAAATATATATTTTATTACCTGTAATTGCAAGATAATCTTTAGCCATAATGGCTAAATATGAATACTCTGTTATATGAAGAAGGAAAAATAAGCAATGCAGGGTATTCAAGATAGATAGTCTTGTTATTTTTTTTTTATTTTTTTTTAATTTCAATTATTACTTTTTTTATTATTATTATTATTTTTAT